ATATATATATATAGCATACATATCTCTGCTTAATGCTGAGACAGGACTAGCGGTTCCATCAGTGATCTTTGGTGTCTGTCTGGTGCAGAATCTTAATTGCAATGACCTCAATACTGAGCTCCCCAGTAAAGTTCTATTGTGTCTTTCATGCCCTGTATCCCAGAGGTGGAATGTATTACTCACAACTCTGCTGCGGCTCAAGTTTGTGAGATGGGTTAGTGGAGGCAGTCACCTAGCTGCCTAGCTCTGTAGTTCCAGAAGCTTAGTTCACAGGTACTGGCATTGGGCCAGCAGTTTGGGGGCTCCGCCTGTACTGGGTTTCACCCTGGTGGACCTGCTGCAGGGTTTCCAGTCTAAGATGTGAATTTAATTCTTTCTTCCTCTCCAAAATGAAAGGCATTACTTTCCATGCTTCTTGGAGTTGGAAGAGGGGTCACAGAGGCAACTCTTTCCTTCATGCCAACTTCAGGGTATCTAACATTATTATACTAAAATTGGGCTCTATGACATCTCACTTGACTTCCTAAGTTGCTGTGATGCTAGGTTGGTGCATGAATAGCTGTTCAAATTGTTGTGTCATCTCGTTCTGCTTCCTTTTTCTGTTTTGATACTATGATGCAAAATTTCTTGTCTGTTCAGTCTTAAAGTAATTGCATTACTGGACATGGTTTAAAAATTTAGCTAATAGTATCATACCATTTAATTAAAAGTCTTTATAGAGTCATTGTTTGATAACAGAAATTAGAGAAGAGAATTTGGAGATAAGTATTTGATACAGATATTACAATACTTTATTTAAAATTTGTGTTTGTAAAAGAGTAGATAAAAATCAGGAAGGTTTGAAAAAGGACAATGGACTAAACTTTAGGATTCGTAAATTTGGAGATCTGTGTGACATACTTCCTCAGCTAATGAGAACATTAACACAATAGAAAACAAAATTGTTTCAGCTTTTAAGCAGAAGTCCAGACTTGGGCCCATACACCCTAAGAGTGGGCCAAAGAGAATTTTGAGGTTTCTTTAGAGTTTCCAAAATTTTTCTTTTCAGAGAGTAATTAGTGACCTGTGCAAAGACTGTGGTTTTGATTTGGTCAGATTCTGTGAACCACTGTTACTCTTTTTAGTACTATAAATTTTCCTAATTTGAGGCTTGGGGATATAGTTAGGGTTTGAATTGTGGTATGATACAAGTCCTGCGGTGATTCACATACCCTGCTTGTTAAACTGAGACACAATTTTGAAACATGATACAGATCTTTTTGATCTATTATTTTATATGAATTTTCAAGTTATGATCATCACTGCAACTACTAATACTGTTTTCAAATATTGACAACAATAATTCCAACAAATTCTACCACTTACCTTTATACTGTGTTTAAAACTGCTTACTAATCACCTCCTTATGGAAAGTAAAGTAGTGGCTTATTTATCATCTTAGTACCATGAGAACCCTGTGACACTGTTATAAGCAAGGTTTTATTTATTTATTTATTTTTTGGTTTTTTGAGACAGGGTCTCACTATGTAGTTGAGAGTAACCTGGAACTCATTATGTAGCCCAAGCTGGTCTTGAACTCACAGTGATCCTCCTGCCTCACTCAATCCCGAGTGTTGGGATTACAGGCATGTGCCAACACACCTGGTGCTATGAGCAAGATTTTAATGAGATATTTAAGTCTTGGAGGATAACTGGCTAGCAGATGGAGATGCCATTCTTTCAGAGTGAACATTGTGCACAGTAGGAAAGAGAGAATGAAAGCAACTGGTATGGTTTGAAATTCTGAGATCATAGTAAAGAAAGGATCAGGAGAGAACAGAAACTGGGCAGTATGAAGTTCAGCCATTGGAAAAGTCTTCATCTAGCAACGAAGGTGTTTGATTCTGAGAAGTGTCTTTATTGCCTAAATGAGGAAGCTTACACCTCAGGTAGTTAACAAAGTTCCTAAAGCCTCTGTACTCAGTGTGTGGCCCCTGGCCAAGAACATTAGAATCACCTGGTAATTTATTATAAGTACAGATTCTTAGCTCTGCTCTAGAATATACTGAAACAGAATTTGCATTTTAACAAAAGACCAGAGTATAACCTTTATATTGTTTTTATGTGTGTTTGAAAAGAAATGGAAATCCCAATATGCATACCTTTTGGCCACTTTTAAAAATTTAACATTGTGTAATGGGGATATTTCTATGTTACTACACATGGATAAACATTATCCATTATAGATAGAAAGTAAGTTATTTTATCCACCCTGTTGATAGGTTTTCACACTAATTTAATGTTTTAGGATTATAAATGACACTATTGAGAAAATCTTTGCCAGTCACTGATTAGGACCTCTGCTGGATCTTGTTTCCTCTCAAAGGCTCTGTTTCTTTCATATCTCCCTGCTTTAATGGACCCTGTGGGCACATCATTTTCACTGACCTTTAAACTTAGTCTGAAGAGAGGAAATTGCCCACCATATCAAATGCTATCTGAAAGCCACTTCAGAGTGTGGCAAAGTGAGCTGCTTCTGGGTTTGGGCCTGCAACAACATGTTTTCCTGTTACTCTGGTGACATCTGCGAGCCCAAAATTCAATCGCAGCTTCCATACTAGCAGCCAATTCGCGCCACTAGAGGCAGGGCTAGTGCGCCTGCGCAGAGAGCCCGGAAGCGCGGCGTCGGACGGTTGCCTAGCAATAGTCGACCAGTAAACTAGTCGGAACTGGTCCTGACTGAGTTAAGTCCGCTATCACTTGGCGGCTACACAGAGGACGGCCATGGGTACCCCGAGGGGTTCCTTCGTCCCAGGAGACGCGGAAAGCCTGAAGGTGGAAGTTCAACTACGAGTGAGCCCGTCAGAGATGAAGTTCTTTGATGCGCTGGAGGGGAAAGTATACCGCCTCCGGCTTACTGTACGCAATCTTGGTCGATGGAACAAGAAAATTCGGTTTGTGGAACCAACCAAGCCACAGGTGACACGCCAAGGGGTGCTGTAATCAGGACTTGGGAGAGTGGGGCTCCGAAAACACTGCCTCCCCCGGACACTCCCGCTGCCTCCGGAAATAGATTCTGGGCTCCTGAGGAGGTGGGGGGGGTTGGACTTCCTGGGCTTTGGTGACTTAGGTGTGTATAAGTTTTGTTTTGTTTTATTTTCTCTTTTGCTTGAAATTGGGATGTGGGGAGAGTAGGGTGGAGGAAAGTTGGATCTAGAACCTCATTGTGTTTTCATCCTGATTTGGAAAGAAGGGAAGGTTTTCCGGGACTACTCACTTTTAACAATCCCAAATTTCTGCGCGTTGGTTTCATGATTAATTCTGTCGTTGCCTTAACCAATGAAACTACCCTTTGAATCATAAAGTGCCTGATACATTCAAGAGTTGTAGAAGCTGTGATAAGTTTTATTATTTCATATTTTAACAAATATTTGTTGAGCACCTACTATATAACAGGCAATAGGTGTAGAGAATACTGATTGGATATTGCCTTGATCTCATAGGACTTAGAAACTAGTGCAGGGATTTTTGTACAGGTCTAAACATCATCAAAATTAATGTTCTAAGAGACTTGCCCTGCTTTCCAACTTCAAAGCGGATGGAATTTCATCTCTGCCTCTCATTTTAGATCATGTGTGTGCATGAATGGCTATTAGTTCACAAGACTTTTGATATAGAAAATGTGATGTTTTGATATATAAGTGATGAATAGCTGAAAAATTTCAGAAGATATTTCTTGTGATAAATCACAATAATATACATGGATTTTGTGTGTGTGTGTGTGTGTGTGTATATATATATATATATATATAGACAGAGAGAGAGAGACGAGGTCACTAATTTGTACATTAGTTTATGTATATTTGTACATCAAACCTATGTTAATGATTAAGAGGGCCATTAGAAAGTATTTTCATTTTCTATTTTCTACTCTTAAAAAATGTACTATTTTTTTTGAGACAGGTTCTCACTACAGGTTCAGACTTTCCTGGAACTCACTATGTAGTCCAGGCTGGTCTTGAACTCTCAGGAATCCTCGTGCCTCAGCCTCCTGAGTGCTGGGATTACAGGCGTGTGCACCACCATGCCTGGCTAAATGTACTATTATTTACACTGAAAAAAGGTCTCAGAAGTAAATCTTGATGAATTTATATACCCACAGAGCTATTATTTTATCAAATCATAGAATATATTCAGTACACCCGGAGCTCACTAGTGACCCTTCCCTAAAATAGCTAGAGTAATTGCCCCATGGAAATCACCAGTATTCTAAAACCACAGATTACTTTTGCCTTTTCTTGATTTTTGTATAAATGCATTCATGATTTTTGTATTTGAATGTTTTTTATAAAATAGTACATTTCAAAAGACTATTAGATCTAAAAGTTCTTGATCACTCAAGATATTTTAGAATTAGTAAAATATTTTATTATTTCGCTGCCTTGGCATATAATGATTGAACAATAGAATGTATACCTGAAAATACTTTCTATTGAAACTCAAACTGGCAGTGATTCTTGAATGTGGGAAAATACTATTGCATGGGTATTCAGGGGACACTTGTATGGATCATTTCTGTAGTTTAAGAAGAAAATGATACAATTAATTTTACTTTGGTTTGTATCTAGAGTGATACTGGAAAACAATTCAGGCCAAAAGTCTATACATTGACAAGAAAATAGCTAGATATGCTTACTAATTACAAGCCAGTACCAGTATGAGTTTTTTTATTTTTTTTTTGCAAGATAATTGTATAAACTGCTGATCCTTCATAGGTATAAAGTGAATTAGGGAAGAATTGAATTAAGATGAAACACATTAACTGTCTTGGGGCAAATAAGGAAATGTGAAAACAAGGTGCTGTATAAAGTGCATTAGCACCGTAACTATTATATTTACTTAAAAAATTATTCTTTTAAGATACATCACAACAGTCATACATTTCTTAAGAATGAAGATACATTCATCATAGAATATCCTTATGTAAAGTAAGATGGCTACATTATTAAGCAGTATAATCATATGGGGTCATCATCATATATGTAGACTGTCATTCACTCAAACCTCATTATGTGGCACATGACTGTGGTTATTTTCTACCCTAGCATTAGATGTATTGTGCATCCCTTACATGCCATATAGTGACATTTATCATCTATCATGGGTTGCTGATAGAAAAATAAAAATATGTAGTTCTTAGTTTCAAGGAGCATAAATTTGATAGTTCTGTGCTTACTTTTAAATATCCTTCAAACTTACTGACATAATCCATATAATAGTGTTTTGCTGATTTGTGTGGCTTCCTGTTTAGTCAAGCTAGTCGTATATGACTTATATTGCCCTCACTCAGCTCAGACTTTACTTTTGACTCACATTTTTATTATTCCCATCTGTGAAGAAACACCTCTTTCCTAAATCCAATTTGCTTTTTTTTTCCTCATGGAGTTTATTGGTACATTTTAGGTATACAGTACAGTTACATTCATCATTGGGATCTTGTACCTTTATTGCAGGTCTTGAAAACAATTCAGGCCAAAAGTCTATACATTGACAAGAAAATAGCTAGATATGCTTACTAATTACAAGCCAGTACCAGTATGAGTTTTTTTATTTTTTTTTTGCAAGATAATTGTATAAACTGCTGATCCTTCATAGGTATAAAGTGAATTAGGGAAGAATTGAATTAAGATGAAACACATTAACTGTCTTGGGGCAAATAAGGAAATGTGAAAACAAGGTGCTGTATAAAGTGCATTAGCACCGTAACTATTATATTTACTTAAAAAATTATTCTTTTAAGATACATCACAACAGTCATACATTTCTTAAGAATGAAGATACATTCATCATAGAATATCCTTATGTAAAGTAAGATGGCTACATTATTAAGCAGTATAATCATATGGGGTCATCATCATATATGTAGACTGTCATTCACTCAAACCTCATTATGTGGCACATGACTGTGGTTATTTTCTACCCTAGCATTAGATGTATTGTGCATCCCTTACATGCCATATAGTGACATTTATCATCTATCATGGGTTGCTGATAGAAAAATAAAAATATGTAGTTCTTAGTTTCAAGGAGCATAAATTTGATAGTTCTGTGCTTACTTTTAAATATCCTTCAAACTTACTGACATAATCCATATAATAGTGTTTTGCTGATTTGTGTGGCTTCCTGTTTAGTCAAGCTAGTCGTATATGACTTATATTGCCCTCACTCAGCTCAGACTTTACTTTTGACTCACATTTTTATTATTCCCATCTGTGAAGAAACACCTCTTTCCTAAATCCAATTTGCTTTTTTTTTTTCCTCATGGAGTTTATTGGTACATTTTAGGTATACAGTACAGTTACATTCATCATTGGGATCTTGTACCTTTACATTGCAGGTCTTGGTTCTCATTTTTTCTCCTTATCCCTGTCCTCCCTATTTACAAATACTTTATTTCCACTTTTTCATTTTCTCATGTTTTTTTTTCTTTTCCCTTATTTGCCTTTTAAGACTAGAGAGCCAGGGATTTAGCTCAGTGGTTCCTGTGCCTGCCTTGTAAGCACAAGGACCTGTTTGATCCACTGTACCCCCCCCCAAAAAAAAGGAATTAAGAGTGGTCCTTTTTTCCTAAGAAATCTTATGATAGCACATGCAGTTGTTTCTGTTATTCAATACCTATTGTGTTTACTGACATTCCTTGTATTTTGGACTTGTGTCCCAATGATTCTTGGTAAATATTGGTTTTTGCCTAAATGGTCAAATCATAACATGCTAAAAGTAGCATGAAAAGCAGTTGGCATTAGAATCCTTGACTAATTAACTTCAGTATGATCTCTATCTGATCATAGGTGAAGATCATTACAGATCCAGGATGAAGGAGAGATTAAGTTCTATAGTCAAATAAATATGTATTTTTGAATCCTCACCACATGAGTGGCTTTCTATGATAATTATTCTCTGCAGATCCCAGTTTCTTTATCTACATGATGACAGCCTTAGTATCAACCTCACAAAATATTAGAAGTGTATTAAATTATATAATAGATGAAGAATGCTTGCTACCTTGTAAATCTTCATCAGAGATCAGTTTTCTTCTTTCTACCTTCATATTTTTCTGGAGTTAGCAAATGTTATTAGAGAACAAAATTGTTTTTTTCTTTGATCTATTCCTTGTTTATAGTTCCTCCAAGTTATGAATCCACATACCCATGCATGGCTGGTTTCCATAGTGTAGTGGTTATCACGTTCGCCTAACACATACCCATGCAGAAAATATATAAACTATTACATGCTACACACTATATACACATGCCCACATCCATGCATATATTCAGGAACAAATTAGGTAATCTTTTGTACAAATAGATGATTATAGTTAATAATGTAGAGTATACTTTAAAATTGTTAAATGAACATGTGCATACACAAAAATTATAAGTATGTGAGGTGATGTGTGTGTTATTTAGCATTATTTGCTTATTCCACAATGTATGCGTGTATTAGAACATCACATTGTACCCGCTCATAAATATATACAATTAGTTTTTGGCAATTAAACATAAAATTAAAATTTAAGAATTGTTTTACTTTTAGAGCAAGAAGAAGAAATATATTTTGATAATAACATATACTTCTGACTATGGTTGCTCACATTACTTTCTTATAAATAGTTAAGATGTATAGTTTTCAGGCTGGGGATACTGCTCAGTGGCAGAGCATTTGCCTAGCATATCCTGGGTTCATTTCCCAGTATACCTCCCCCTACATGTATAATTTGATTCTTTTTTTTTCTCCATTGAAGTTCAAATTGATGTTAACGGATTTGGAAAAAGAACTTGCTTCTGGCCTTCAGATGACAGTTGTGGTGGAGTATCGTCCTGATAAAAATGAAGATACTTTTGACCAACTACTTATTGTAGTAGAAAATGAAACAATAGTAGTTCCTCTAATTGGGTATGTAACCTTCATGTTTCATGCTGACATTTTTAACAGTTCAAATAAAATAAAGGTCAAAGTAATCTATATTTTCTGTCACTCATATCTGTACTTTCCATATAGCTGAACTTAAATGAATATTTTTTAAAACAACTGTAGTTTTTGTAAAAATGGAAGCCTCATTCTCTTTTTATTTAAATATCTTTAAGCACTGGCCAATGGAATGTATCATTAATTAGATTTTTGCAAGCTCATAATGATATTTAATTTAATTTTAAAGCACAGTATCATCATATTCACTTAAATAAATTTTAATTAAAACATTTGGCTTAAAAATCAAGACTGCTATTTTGTGATTGGTTGAAAAATGTGGACAGTTATAATGAGTATTAAACAGATGAACTAACTCACTAATTTGCAATTAACTTTGATAGAAATTATTCATTTGACAGGATGAATTTTCTTTTCTTTTTGTAATGAAAAAGTATATTTCCGTGTATTGTAAAAGTTATTTATTAAAGTGTTTTATATCTACATTCAGAATCCTTTTTTCCCCTCAGCAAAATGTGATTTTATAGAAGTTATTCTTTTGTCTGCATTTGTCCACTAGCTACAGACTTAATATTGGAATGTTTTCTGCTTATTATATAGTATTTGACATATGCCTTTTTTAATCTCCCCATTTTTTATTTATATAAACTAAATTTAGATCTGCAAATATTTTGGTTCTTCATATTGTTGAATTCTGATTTAGTACACCACCCTGTTCTGGGGAATCAAAAGAGTTGACACATGATAAGAAAGCTAGTAACCTATTACAAATATTTAATTTACATTTTAAAATTTAAGTAGAGCATTTTTAGTGCCTTTTACACTTTGACATGGCCACGACTGTAGCACTCAGATTTTCTTGCTTATGCTGAGGATGAAGTGAAGGTTTGAATATGCTTTTTGCTCATGAAAATAGAGATTTTAATGTATGCTTTTTCTCATCAGAGGTGCATTTCTTACCAGGAGTTGCAACATAAATATAGCACTTCTCCCATTGTGCATGGTGCGTAAAGCAGAAGGAAGGGGTGTGTGTGTGTGTGTGTGTGTGTGTGTGTGTGTGTGTGTGTGATTGTTTAGATACCACTTTATTTTTAATTGATATGACTAAAAATTCATGTGCAGATATATGAAATAAAGCAGATAGTTTCCTTGTGCATTATTCCCGCTTTGCCCCAGTAATATTTTGCAAAATTCTAGGATAATACCACAACTAGGAAATGCAGTTTGATACAGTCTACCTATCTTGTTAAAACTGTCACAGCTTCACATGATCTCTTTCACCCTCCCTTTCTCCTTTCCTCCCTTTCTCTCCCTCCCTAACTCCCTCTTGTGTCTTGTCTTGGTCTGTGTGTGTGTGTGTGTGTGTGTGTGTGTGTGTGTGTGTCTGTTTCTAAGTTCTCAAAGTTCTATACAGTTGTATCACCTATGTAGGTTTGTGTACCCAATAGCACAGTCAAAATACTGAAGGATTCTAGTACCCAAAAAATCTCACCTGCTGCTTTATTAGAACTGCACTCATCTCCTTTCTGCTTCTCAGGCAACATCTCCAATCTGTCTTCTATAACTTTGCATTCAAATATAGTATATAAATTAAATCATATGAGCATATAACCATTAGGGGTTGGCTGTTTTTCCCACTCAGAAAATCTCCCTGGAGATTTAACCATGTTGAATGTGCTAATATTTTGTTCTTTTGTATTGCTTAGCAGTATTATATGTATATATTATAGTTTAATCATTGATCTATTAGAGAGCAAAGGGACTGATTTCAGCTTTTAGCTGTTGCAGGTAAGCTGCCTTAATATCGTCATACAAGTTTTATATGAACATAAATTGTTATTTCTCTTGGAGAAATACCCATGTGTGCAATTTCTGGGTTATATGGTAATTGCATGTTTAGTTTAGTAGAATATTCCAAGTTGTTTCTTAGAGTGGCTGTAACGTGTTTGTACTCCAGCAAAGAGTGGATGAGTAATGCACCTTTTCTCCATTCTTGCCAGTATTTGTTGCTGTCACTATTTTTAAATTTTAGACATTTTGATAGATATGTAATAAAATCTCATTGTGATTTTAATTTGCATGTCGGTGATAACTTACAATGTTGCATGTTCTTATGTGCTTCTCTGCCATCTGAATAGTCTCTTTTCTGAAGCATTTGCTAATGTGTTTTGCTTGTTTTTATATTTTTTTTATATTAAATTTTTCAACTTCTTTGATTCTAGATACGAGATGGATATGTACTTGGAAATCTTTTAGCCTGGGCTATGATTTGACTTGATCTAAGAACATATTTTATAAAGTAAAGTTTTTTTCTTTTTAAAATTTTATTGATTCCAGTTTGTCAAATTTTCTTTAATGGTTTACAGTTTTAGTGTCAATTCTAAGACCTTTGCCTAAGCCTTTGTCCTAAATATTTTCTATTTTTTATTTTTAAGTTTTATATTTGTATATATGGTATAGTTTACTGTTTTTTATGAAACATAATTTTATGTCAAGGTTATTTTTATTCCCTGTAGTTCTGCAATTGCTTCAATCTCATTTGTTGGAAAGGCTTTCTCTATTGAATTGATTGTAAACGTTTGGAAAGAATATCAGTTAAAGGCCTGGGAGTGTCATTCAATGGTAGAGCCCTTGCTTAATATTTGGGAAGCCTTGCAATCCATCCCTTGCAACACTACACACACACACTCACACACACGTGAAATCGAGCGTGTTTGTGATTTATGTCTGAGTTTGGTACTTTGTTCCACTGGTGTATGTTTCATTACATCTCACAAACATCATGGGACCTTAATTACCATCACTGTAGTACATAGTGTTTCTTAAAATCCAGTAGACTAATTCTTCGCACTTTATTTTATTTTTTCAAGATTACATTAGCTAGCTTAATTTCTCTATATAAATTTTAGAGTCAGTGTTTCCCACATAAAATATGCTGGGATTTGTTTAGCCTACAGATCACTTTGAGAATGTTGACATCTTTACTGAAGTAAATTTCTAATTATTGCACAGTTTCAATAGGCTTTCAAGTGCCATTATCAGTTGATTGTGGCACTTCCTTCTGGAATCCATGCTTTTGGATGGAAGGCATATTTTCACTTAATGTAGTATTTCCTTATATCAAATGTGTGTTTTCTATCTGATTTTATTATTTTTATCTTTAATTTGTCAACATTTAATTATGGTGTGTTCATGTTATTTTCTTGGAATTTATGACGTTTGGGTTCATTCAGCTTCTTGAACCTGTGTATCTGTGTCTTTTGTCAAATTTTAGAAGTTGTAGCGCTAATATTAACATTCTTTAGCCTCATTCTCCTCTCCTCTTGAGACTTTAGAGTTACAAATACAGAATTTTTTCAAATTGTTATACAGATCTCTGAGAGTTTGTTTATGCTACTCTTCAGTTGCATCTCTCTCTCTGCTGTTATGACTGGGTAGTGTACTAATTTTTCTTTAATTTCACTGATTTTGTCTTCTGTCATCTCTATTCTAGTATATTTTCCATGGTCAAGTTTTTAATTTTGGTTGAGTGTGTGTGTGTGTGTGTGTGTGATGAGAGAGAGAGAGAGAGAGAGAGAGAGGGAGAGAGGTTTCTTTGTAACTAGTATTTTTTACTATTTCCTATTTATTCATTAGTTTTAAGAAAATTTGAAATTATTTATTGAAGTATGTTTTGTTAACAGCTTTAAATTCGTTGCGAGTTAATTCCAGTCTTAGGTTCATCTCAGGGGGTTGATATTATTTGATTGCCTTTTCTTATTATAATTGTGCATTGCTTAGTTCTTAGTATGACAGGTAATTGTTGATTGCATATTGAATATTTATTCTCCTTTTGTATATTGTGCTTTCAGTGGTAATTTAATTTTCAATATCTTTGTGATATTATTTTGATTCATTTGATTTGTATTTTTATCACTAGTGTTCCCACTGTTCCGTAATAGTGCTGCCTGAAAGACTGCAGGCATTGTTTTCTAGGCCTGGTTACTGATATAGTTTGGTGGAGACATATGATGAGATCCCTATATAAGTTCTCCCTGGTTGAGTAGGTCCTCTAGGTAGGGAGAGATAAATTCTAGGAAATTCTGAATTGTGGGGCAGTGAGGTTTGTCTTGCTGTTCCAGTTGTATCTAGATCTGCCTTATTGGTTCCGCTACCCTTTCCAGGTTTCTTTCAGTGGGGGAAGAGGGTCAACAGACACAAAAAGAATTTGCATATGTAATTGCTTGTTCCTGGTGGTTCTTTCGCTGGTTTTCCCCAAACACTTTGATATCTCATGGAAGAAAAGGAGATTACCAACCAGGGAAGGAGAGTGCTTTCATTTATCTTTTATGATTGGTAGACTTCCCAGCTGATCCCCATGGTGGGTGTTGTCAGGCTCACGTAATATTTTTGGAGACATTGTCATTTTCTGCAGGAGAAATGAGCCTAACTGGGCTGCTTTTCATTTTGAGGTCAACAGTCAGAAAATACTGGGTCTGAGTGTCCTTCCTCTATTAGTTGGAGGATTATAATACACCCTGCTCCTACTATTCAAGCAGTCCTAGAGTCATAAACCAGCAAGCTATCCTTTCAACAATTTAAATGCTTTTCTTTTGCTTGACTTTTGTAGCATTTTTAGGGTATATAGTTGTTTTTAGTGGGGAGTAACATGGAAAAATGAACTATTTTATGAACTCTTATCCAGATCAGAATTTGTGTTTATTTCTGTACATTATACTAAAAAACCTTTGAAGTCCAGTAAGGGTTATTTTCCACTATCGTTTAAATGGTATGCTTTGGTAAATATTTTCAAAACTGAAAAATCCAACTTCTTTCATAATGTTTGTGAATAGAATGTGTTAAGAAAAGACACTTTCTTGGAGTGAATGTCAACTTTTATTTCAAATTCTCTGTATAAGGATTAAGCATGAAATACCTCTTCTATTTATTATGGAGTCAATCCTGAGAAAGAAGGCAACTCATAGAGAAATTAATGTTTTTTACTTCTACCTTTCTAGAAATCATTTTGGGATTCCAAAGTTGCTCTTATAGATGCATAATATAATTAGTAATTTTAACATATTTTCCTTGTACTGCTAAAAGCTGTGTTCCTCTTGCACACTTAAGATACCTAAGCTTTTCATCATTAATTTGAATAGTTGCAAAGTTGTAGTAACTTATTTGTAGTAAAACATTGCTTTAAAAATAGTTGTATACCTCCTTAAAATATATCCAGCAAAATGGAAATAACATAGTAATTTGTAAACAGTTGAAAAATTTGCCCCATTTCTTTCTTCCCTTCAGGACTAGTGATTGAATCTAGGGCCTCACACATGCCAAGCAAGGGTTCTCCCACGAAGCTATATCCTCGATCCCTAATTTTATATCTACAGCATCACACTCTCAATAGGGATAAAATACATTTGCAGATATTTATATAATTCATGGACTGTGTCTGTGGAGATATACATATGAATATATATATATATATATATATATTATGCATATAAGTATGTATATTAGCAGATTTCTTCTAGTCATAAATCTATATATGTTTTTGACATTTTTCTGAGTGACACTAATACAGAGTTTATCTGTCAAACTGATACTTACTATAAAAGTAATGTCATTTAGGTAGCATATTCATGGCTGATGTTTACTTATTGCTTAAATGGATTCTACATGTCTTTTATTGCCATTTTAAAGTTTTTGATGTAAATATTGAAAAATTGTCTCCATAGTGAATAGATTGATGAAAATGGATTTTATTGGAGTAATGGCTTCCAGATTTTTGAACTCTAAATTTAACATCTATGGTAAAATTAAGCAGATATTTATCAAGTATTTTTAACAGTTTATCAACAAACTCAACTGTATACTCCTATTAAAATATTGGTAGAAGAAAACTGAAAATCATCTTCATGTATATAGATTTGTTAGACATTTTGGTCGTTTACTTTCTCAATATTAATACCAGTATTTCTAAGTTCCCTATAGTATAGTGTCTCAGAAATGTTTCTACTTAAACAATAAATAAGAGTTAAACTAAGGAAAGATGTGATCCAGCTGCCCTTTTGTATGAAACACTGGAAGAGGAATTGTGAAAAAGGGAATAAGAAAAATTTGGGGGTATCAACTTGTTATTAAGCTGTCATATCTTATGAATGAGTCAAATCTGGAAGATGCTTTTCTACCAGAAGATATTCATGTACCTTTCAGAGCATTCCTGAGTTTAAAGACCACTTCTACTTACCAAATATGTCATTGATATTCTCTTCTTCAGAGATTACTTCAACTCTAGCCATTAGACAGGCACTTTCTCTGATGGCTGGCAAGATAGTCTGCTGTCCTTAGATTCCAGCTGTCTTTGTATGTTTTTATGTGTATGGAATCAAAAAAGTTTTCAAGATTTTCATACAAGAGTAAAGTAAATCAATAGGAGAAGCAGATAAATTGTAATGTATAAGTAAACCCTTAATACTGAGTTAGATTCTCTTTCTTTCTCTGTTGTCTTTGTTTTCCCTGCCCCTCTCATCTCTATCTACCTATTTGTTTGTATGAGGGAGAAGCTTGTAGATTCTTAAGAAATAAATTTTAAGACCATTTTTCTATATCTAGTGAAATAGTTTTAAAACAAGTGTTTGTCTTTACCTTTCACATTATGTGTCTAATCGGCTCCTCTTTCAAATCCAGGAATCTCATGATTGATGCAGTTATGTATACTGACGTCATTTATTTCCTTTTCCTAGCACAAAGTTATAATATCTTTTAGATCAGAAAATGGATATTTCTTAGTCTTGACTGATCCTTGGATTACTGTATCTATAATTATCCAATATTATACAAGCACTCACATATAAACACATATTTCAGAAAGAAGGCCAGAAAATACTATTTGTTCGCCACTGCATAAAGCAATAGTTGAAATTGTTTTGTTCAGATATCTTTATTTATCCTGTTCTGTGGGTATGCCTTTATGTGTGTATGTATGTGTGTAATTGTATTTTGGAGATTGTGCATTGTGAGGAGTAAATGACTTAATGCATGTGTCTTGCACATAACCTAGAAACTAAATAGTGATCTCTTTTTGTTTATCATTGATGTTATTGTTAGGTTTGAAGCCTAACAAAATGAATTCTAAGCTTTGCAATCAATACCCAGACCGCTGCTTAGTTAAATCATTTAAACTTTTTTGAGTCTTTGGCTTCTTATTAAAAACAGAAGTGATGATAATTCCCTAACTTTTGGAAATTTTGTTAGTACTAAACAGGTTCATACTCTTGTATTAACTTTGTAAACTATAAATTACTATTCAAATACAAAGTAAATGCTTCCTTATGAAATATGTGTGTTAGATGATAATTTTTGAAAAAACATGTATGAACACATGCTACATGCATATTATAGTGAACACTTCAGGTTAGGGACACATATGAAAACTCCAATTTTATAATTTTGTACTTAGATTTTGCTTTATACCCCAAATTATATGTTACAGCATCCCTCCTTTTATTATATCACATTTAAATCATTCAAACTATTTTATTTTATTAAGGTCAGTTCCACCTTTTCTGATGAAGGTCAAATAATATATTGTAGACTTAAGTGGACTAAAAATTTCAAATATGTTTTGAGTAACCCAAATATTGAAATTAGTATGTAGCCTCTCAAGGCTAAGTATTTAAGAGAGAATACTGTACACTTAAGTGCATAAATTTTGATTTCTTTGTTAAAAATATATCATCTTGTTTCCATATGTTTAGTTCATTAATTTCTTTTATTGCAACTATATTTTCAGTAAATGTGCAAGGAAACTAAAATGTGTTTTAAGGAGTTAAAAGTGTCTATATATGTCCCTCTGGTTTAATTAAGTAGTTATTATGATTATTGCAATTAATTATGTGGCCCTTTTTCTCCTCTCAGGTTGATTCCATCTTGTGATTTGGAAATTGAATCAGTAGTTGATTTTGGCATATTAGTTTCAAACAGTAAATTACATTCGAAAGAGATAAATATTAATAACCGTGGCACATTTCCAGGTAAGTGCTTACAGTTGTATAAATGAATTCACTTACAATTTTAGATGAAAAATTATGCCCCCTTTTTTTTTTTTGGTACTGGAATCAAACTTGGGACCTTGCCCTTGCAAGGCAGGTGACAGAACGACTGAGCTAAATCCCCAGCCAAAATTAAGTACTTTTAAATGTATACCTTGTGTTATTAGTAGATAGATTCTCTGATTCAGTAATATATCTGTTATTTGAAATAGCTCAAAACCAAAGACCCTTAGGTAGTATGACTAAAAAGAACAGATAATACAATAAATAACTCAGGAAAAAAATCTGTCTACTTATGATTCTGATTAACATAGCTGATTCTCTGATGACTAGTGATCTCCATGTAAATAGCCAAGAAGGTGTCATAGAAGTGATATTGTTCTGTTCTTATAGCCACCCAGAGACAGAATTAGGGCATGATGCCTTCTTAGCTGTGTGATATGGGACAAATTTCTTTGAGAATGTTGAAATTGAGATTCTTTATAATAAATAAGTAATAAAATGTATGATGGTTGTGTACACACTTAGAGTTGTGCATGGTACCTGGCTTATCAGAAGGTCTCAATAAATATTTGTCCTCTTTCTCTATCATAGTCAAAGTTGAACTCACATCATAGTCTCTAGAAGATGTTTAGGAATTCTTTTGCCGAAAGGATAAATGCTTCTCTCTTCTCCAGGCTGGAATTCAGCGATGTTTATTGTGGCCTAAGAGTTCCATGAAAGTGTGTGTGTGTGTACATGTGTGTACACATTTGTACATACTTATTCATTGGTGGCATAGTCATAAAATCACTTATATTTTCATTATTTTGATCACACGGTGAGGATCACAGAATGCAAGGTTGTTATTTCCCTGTATGTAACATAAGGACTTACCTCCAGACAAGAGGGTGCCCTCCCAACCCCGATGGCTTGTTGAATATATAAACCAGATCTTAAATCTAAACTTCTTTCCCATTAACTGGGGCTGCCTGATTGAGCACTGGCAACTATTATGAAAAAATCAATCCATCACATTACTGATTTCTTCCTAGGATATAATAGAATAAAACTGATAATTATTCCACATTGAATGTTGGTTATTTTGATTTCAGTGCTTTGTTTTCTTCTTTTCTATTGGTGTATATTTGTGATACACTATAATTTCATTAATCTTGGGCAGTTTGTGCGTATACATATCCCATCTTTAGAAATTTTAGAAAATAAAATAATACAAATAAAAATCTCTCAATCGTGGATCACTGTGATATATCTATAACCCTTCAGAGCCTTAACCACAATAATATATGCTTTTTAGTCTAAATTCTCACCAAATTTTACAATTTTATTACATGTGAAAGCTCTCTGAGGAAAAAAGAGATAAATTAAATTTTAGTTGAATATATAATATTACTTAATGAGATAAAAGAAAATTAAGCTTCATATTTTGGTCCATATATTTAAAGAAAAAAATATTCATTGTCTTTGTGTATTATAGTATTTTGTGAACATGTATTTGTTGGTACTAAGTAAGTTAGATGTATTTTAATCTAATACTGTGAAATCTGAATTGCTCTCACCTTACAAACTGAAGCAAATCTAATCTGCCTCAACAGCCGTTTCACTTTAGACAAGTAACTCAAGTTTTTTTAAGCATCTGTTTTCTATTTGTAAAATGGAGACAAATGACTGAACCTATATTGCATGGTCTTTATGAGGATTACATTGTATTAATATACAGAGTTCTTAGTGTAATTGTCTGAGCATAGAAAATGGGTAGCATCTTTCAGTTGTTGATAAGAATTAAATTCTAAAACTAAGCTCACATTTGTAGGGTGACCCAAGTATCAACCTCCTGAAACTGAATGTAACATTGTAAGGGTCGAGATATAAACTATCTCTCTCACCGTACTTAGGTATGTTTCATGTGGAATACTGCGGTCACTTACCTATCGTCATTTTTCCAACCTGTGGTGCTGTAAAGCCTGAGTCTTCTTTGACTATCAGAGTAGATTTCTGTGCAGACGAACCCAGAGTTGTTAATGAAGTGGCAAAGTAAGTGTATACTACGCTTCTGTAATTCTAATGTGATTCTCTTTCCTCTTTCACCCTTCAAATGTACCTGTGTTTATATATTAGCTTCTTTTTCTTTTGTTTAATATTCATTTTTAGAGATGCTAGTATTTTCCAAGCACTGGGATCTCAGTAGTGGGAACAAGTAGTGGATGACGCATAGGAATATAAAATAGGAGCCCTTAGTTTGGATTTTGTGGAGGTAAGGAAGAGACCAAGAGAGTGCTCCACTAGTAAGGTACTAATTGAGCTACACATTTATCAGTGAGGAGAAGTTAGCCAGCAAATAAGTGATGTGATTGAGTGTGTGTGCCTGTGTCTGTGTGTAGAGAAAGTGGTTATAGTGATGGAAGTGAGTTATGGAAGTTATTGCATGCAGAGCAAGTAGCAGACTTGAAATACTAGTGGTGGAAAGACAATATTATATATTGAGGGATCTGAGGCAATACAGAATCAGAGATGTGCGGAGTGATGCAAAATGGGAAGTGATTCTGGGGAAAGGAGGATGGAAGGGCAAAGGGGAAAGGGGGAATAAAAATGTACCCATTTCCCAAGATGAATATAATTATACTGTATTGAAAACATATACTAAAAAAGATGAGATTAGAAAAATAGAATGACATAGGATTCAGTTAAGGGCTGTAGGACAAGATTTTTATGAGTATATATCTCATTCATCAGTGGTATGTGCAATTAGTACACTGGGTCATCTCCTTTATTTATTTATTTACTTGCTTATTTGATTTATTTTTTGGTACCGGGGATCGAACTCAGGCCCTTGTTTTTGTGAGGCAGGCGGCAGAAACACTGAGCCAAATCCCTGGCCGCATCATCTGTTTTTAAAAGAATAAAATAGAAAATATCAGAATGCATCTCCCATAGCAAGGAAAATGCTGTTTTGAAAATCATCTTTCTTTTTTTTTTATATTTGTGTGTGTTACTACATTGCAAAGGAAAATACATCTCTTACTGGAAAGTTATAATCATAAATGTATGAGAAATAGTTGAGAGCCCTGATAGGAGCTTAGCTCTCACTGTGAAGTCTCAGGAAGGTTGTAGGAAGAAAATGCCTTGATGGCTTTACATTTAGGAAAGTCCTGCTCATAGAATTGTGCAAAATAGGTTAAGGAGTACAAATGGGGAATGCGTAGACTGACTGGAAATTATAACAGAGAAGCAAGAGGAAAATTATAAAGGCCTGAGCAAAGGCACAGATTGGGAAGACTTAGAGGAGTGTGCAGACTGAAGGTATGTTATAGAGGTAGATTTGTTGAATTCTTTATGTGGTCAATTCATAAGTGAGTTTTCCATCTTTTTTTCCCAGTAATGAATTAGGTTACATATATGTAATTTTACTACGTAGATTTGGACAGACAGAAAGATCTGATAACCACTGGCATGTATGTGGAAGGAACTGCTCTTACATTCTTGAATTTTAATTATAATATGATTTTATAAATTTTTTCCAAATATTTAGAAGAAAGTAAAATATAAATAATTTTAATTAAGATATTTATGCATATATATATATATTTCATTATTTTGTAGAGTGAGATTGCAAGGTCGTCCTGACAAACACTTGAATATTAAAGCTCATGTGGTCCAAGAGATTATTGAATTGTTAAACCTAAGTGATGAGAGAAAATTGGAATGCATACACTTTGGTTCTGTTTACTTTGGAGCATCAAAAATTGAACATGCCCTTCTATATAATAATAGCCCAGAACCTATAAGTTGGGTGGCAGTAATGCAAAATGATTGTGTTGGAGAAGAATTGGTAAGTAAATGGTGCAACATTGATATAGCAGGTATTAGGCCTTGAAATCAACTGTTTTGAATCTATTGATAACCCACAAATACTTTAATTATTCTAAATGTATTTTAACACGGGTATGTAGAGGTGATTTCATGTGTATCCAAGGGTAACCTTAAATATCCAGTATTAAGTTAGGATCTATAGTAATGTACATCTGAAGTAAACCAAGTAAGTGCCTCTTATAGGTCAGTAATTAATTGTAGAGATTCCTATTTCCATTAATGTTTTAACAGTTCTTTAAATTATATCATGTGCCTTAGCCACATTTAGGTTTGTGTTACTTTATAGACAGATACTTTGCTTTCTAGATTATGATATTTTAATAACTATTTTATCACTTTTGTTAAGATATTTTTGTTTGTTTTGCCTTAATTTGCTTTTATTTCTGATTTTATTACAGGGTTCAAATATCCGACAAAGAACAGATTTGGCTTTAAATAATCTCACCTACCTAAACAAAATAAAAACTATAGATATTACCACTATTTTCTATTGTGTTCCTAATGAAGGGATTTTATTACCTCATCAAAAGATTTCAATTGCATTTTGTTTCAGCCCAAAGTAAGCAAAAGCTGATATCATTTTTATGTCGAGTATTAATGGAAATTATGTTAACCACACTTTAACAACATTGACTTTAATAACGTCGTAGTAGAACTTGCCAGATGGCACAAATTGGTTTCTTCCTTGTTATGGTTCTCAATGTTTTCATCATATTTAATTTTACTTGCAATATTTTAAAATATGGTACTATATACTTGAGGTTAAACTAAAACTTATTCCAGACTTCATGGAATTGGTATGGTAGAAGTACAGGATTGTGGCTGCTTTGGATTGTAGTTCTAAAATAATTTGTGAAGCTATGAAATTGTTGTTCCTGAAGGGATAGTCAGGTGAATGCAGTATGTTTCAGGTGCCACCTTATAGGATTTGTTGCCCCTGGTAGGGAAAAATTCTTCGCTGAGTGTCATGAGTATTAAATACAATCCCTGCTGGGATCAGCTATTTTGTTTGCTGAAATACATACTGATTTTTATACATACATATATTTATTTATAATTCTGTGTAATTGATTTTGTTAATTAGTTTTAAAATATTTTTGGAAATGCCATTTTAAATAAAATAGTAACAACTGCAGCGACACCTTGGTACATTGCAATTTGTGTCAGGAAGTGATCTGATTGCAAGATATATGTACCTTTACTTGTGAGAGGGTAACGTTCAGTGCATTCCTCTTTTTGTAACAACAAGGTTACTTGGTCATGTCAATTGCCTGTTGAAGACTGAATTGTATTTTAATTTAAGGAGACCAATATATCAAGTACTTGTCCTACATGTACAACAAAAATTTTCCTTCTTGCTAATGATACTTTCCTGCAGGAAATTTCTCTGGTGAATTTATAAAATTTTAACATAATCTTTTCAATTTCAAATATTTTTTCCTGTTAACTTCACTTGAGAGTCTAGCATGCATGAGTATAATTTGAAGTCTTGGTTAAATGTTTTGATAATGCCATTTATATTTCTGTTTAATATTACATTATTCTGTGTATTTGAGTATTTGTTGCTGGAAGAGCGGACTTCCAATCCAATAAGCATACTTACGATGTAACTCACGTCTTTGTCTCCCGTTTTCTTCTTCCCATCCATCCTTTCCTGTTCATTAATAAGATTTTAACTCTTAAGCAAATCTTATTCTCCAAATTATTTGTTGTCCACAAACAAAAATCTGTCTGACAAAATGCATTTATTCCACTAGGAAGATAAACATTAACACACATGTTCAGTTACTTCCAGGGGTAAAATAAACTATGACTACTGTAGAGAATTGATCATATTTTTTGGTCTGCAATGGATTTTGCCTGGAGAGAAAATCTTTTACAAAGAAAATAGCATTTCAGCCAGATCTTGACAACTTCATATATTGAAGTTACTTTTGTTGTGAAAAGGTTTACACAAAATCTTTTTTTTTTCTTTTTGAGCTTTCTACTCTGTGATTTTGTGTCAGGTTTCTATATCAGTTCAGTAATTCTGGAAAGTGAATAATGGTTGTATTTTTATTTCTTAACTTTCATTTGCTTGCATAGATCTAAGGATTGGATTGATAATTTATTTTGAGAGAAGACAGAGTATCGTGTTTGCTTTAAAATTAGAAGTAAAAATGATTAAAATGCTATATGTATGTGTACCAATTCTCCAAGATGAATGTAATTATTATGTATAGAAAACATATATTGCTAATCAAAGAAAAACTGACTGTGATTTTTTTACAGGCTAATAGTTGATAGTAAAATGGATGTTGACCCTTTACATAGGCAAGACTATGCTGTCTTTTTGAGATTTGAGACTGTGGGAAGCAAAGATGGATTTTTGGGAGATGATGACTCTGAAACTATCAAAAGTAAGTGCAAAATTAATAAAGTAATTAAAATTGTTTAAAATTTTGAACATTCATATTTGTAGAGGCAATTTATTAAAAGTATATAATTATTAGTTTGAACAGCAATGCAGACATATTCAAGTGATCTTAATATGCTATCTGTAGCATGTTAAAAACAAAGTTAACCTTGGAATCATGTACATAATTTTTTATTTATAAAACTTAATAATTTTAAAATGACATTTGATAAACAGGATTTAGAGTTTAGGAAATTAAAAATGGATTTATTTTATTAGTATTCCTATGTATGTTCTTAGTGCTTGGTATAGAAACAAATGACCCATTTAATCTCTACCATACTTTTAGTTCTCTTGAAATCTGTCTTCTATCTATCTATCTATCTATCTATCTATCTGTCTGTCTGTCTCTCTCTCTCTCTCTCTCTCTCATATATATATATATTTCTCAGGCCACATGTTAAAATGCATTATGATTTTTACATTCTTAGCTAATATTGGTTCGTTGAAATAAAGAAAAAGTGCAACAGAACTTGACATCACTTTATCAAGACAGGTCAAGGTGAAAACAAAGAAATAGGCCATTTACAAATCAAATTCAGAAAATGAGCCATTCCATGGAGGGGTGGGTTCATCCTAGGCACATAGGAATGTAAGTCTAGAAAGTTTGCAAATCATTACAAGTGACATCTGGCAAAATTTGACTGTTACTAGAGCAGAAATTTATTGCTGATACCATTTATGTCATGGTTTATGACACAGACTGTGTCTTCAGAGAACATTTTTATGAAGCACACAGGTACATGTAGCTTTGAATAGTTAGAGATGGAGACTCTAGATTCACCTTAAAGGAACCTTGGTGTCTAGAATTGGATGGGAAAAGCACCAATGAAGAAATATGTACCTTTTTTCTCAGTTCTAGTTACATCACTCTTTGTATAACTTCTTTCATCCAACTATTGTCTGTAGTAGTTACTACTTACAATAGTTCTTGTCTTACTGTTTGAAATTTTTTGTTTATATTTTCTCCTAGTTTATATTTCATTGTCCATTATTTTAATCACTCTTTTTCATGTACATTTAATTTTTTGTCCCATATCACATAGTGATTAAGTGAAAAAAAAAACTGTAATTCTTTCTTTTTTTATTTTGATACTGGGGATCAAACTCTGGACATTGCGCTTGTGAGGTAGGCGACAGAACCACTGAGCTAATCCCCGGCCAAGAAACAACTGTAATTCTATTACATATTTAACTTTTAACCTACCCTGGATCTGCATATGAGATCCTGGATTTAAAAAACACACCTAAGAAAACATGCTTTATTTCTATAACCTCTGACCCATGGTAGTTTCTCTAAAGTGTTTGATATTCCTACTACATTCCTCCATTCATTCACTTTCTCGCAATGTCAGGTTACTATCACACACCTTTATTATTTCCTTATGCTTCCAGTCCTTCTTTTGATTTCACTCTAAGCTTGCAACACATTGTGGCACTTTATATTGCCACTAGGATATCTACTAGACGTGTCAACCTTAACATGTTTGAATGGAATTCTTGTTTTCTCTCAACCTATTTCTGTGTTTCTGACTTAATAAATTACATTTGCAACATTTCACTTACTCAAGCTAAAACACTTAGTGTAATTGTTTATTGCTTAATCATTTTCCCATTCTTCATAAAATTTTCAGAAAATCTTATTTACTCTACCCTCAGAAGTGCATTCATAGCGTCACAGTTTTTCATAGCTAAAACTTGGAAACAGCCAAATTGCCCATCTACTGGAGACTGGATGAAGATGAGGCTGTTTTTATAAAATGGAGTGTTACTCAGCCATACAGAATGAGAAAGTGGAGACATTTATAGCTAAATGGGTGCAAATTGAGGACATACTCTTAAGTGAAATAAATTGGACACACGTGTGTAAATACTGAATAGTTTCTCTGGTGTGAAAAACTGAAAGTGTAAATAAGGATCAAAATGTGTAATGTGAAACAGGAAGAAAAAGGTCTGAAGGAGAAAGGGAAGTCAGAGGTGTAGGGGAAAGGAAAGAAGAGAATGGAATAAATATGAGAAAATGGAAATAAGGAAACAAAGTCTTTGTAAATAGGAGGGGTAGAGGGGTTAAAGGGAGGGCAGGAGAATGGGGAAATACATAAGAACCAAGATATATCATTTAAAGGTACAAATTCCCAATGATGAATGTCATCATACTGTTTACCTAAAATGTACCAATAAACTTAATGAATAAAAAGAGTGTTTCCAAAATTTGACCACTTCTGATCAGTCATTTACTATTCTCCCCTAGTCATATTGGGTTTACCAGGGTTTTTTTGAACATGGTAAGCAAGTCCCTATCTTAGATTGTTTGTCCTTGCTGTTCTCTCTGACTGCAGTATACTTTCCCCGGATGTTCACATGAGTTTCTTTCAGATTCCCAGTATATCTTTTCTAAGATGTCTCCTTATAAGAGAGGACATTTTGGCCATCTCCACAAAAACCAAATCTTGAAGACCTTGTATTTTCTTTGTCTCATATGACTCTACCTTTACCAATAGCGACCATTTTCTATGAAATGCTATGAATTTTCACATTTAGTTTTTTTTATTATTGAAACCACTTGCTAGAAGTTAAAGTCAATGAGATAAAAGTCTCCTTTATTCTCTGCTATATCCCCATGGTGTAGAAGGGTACCTGGCACAAAGAAGGTACCCAAGAACTTTGTCAATTGCAACGATGGAATGGGCTACCAAATTCTCTTCAGGTCTTTCAAATGACACTGTGTGGTTTAAACAAATATATTTTGGATTCCTCAAACACCTTTTATGTTCAATAGCGATTATTGCTTTTCCAGGTGATCAGTTTCAGAAAGTGGAATTAGCAATGACAGGCTCAGGAGTTCCTGTCTTATTACATTTTGATCGAGGCAAATTCTTTAAATTTCAACCTTGTTTCATGGGTGAACGTTCAGACATTGTGTGCATCATACAAAATCAATCTGAATTTCTTCCTGTGACATACCATTTTCCAAAAACTGCTCATTTTAAAATTCATCCTCAAAGGGGAAAGATCAATGAAGGCTGCACCCAGGTAAAATAAGTTTCTTTTGCTTTCTTTCCACATTGCTTCAGACATTTTCAGGTGTGCTAAATTGCTGTGTAGGGGATTAAAAAACAAATTTATTCTACTAATGCTTATAAAATGTACCTGTTACATGACCTATGATTAGTTATGAATATTTTTGTATGTATAGTCTTAAATAATCTGTGCTTATTTGTTAAGTACCTGTGAAATGCCAGGAAAGTACTTGAAATTCTAGGGAAATTAAAAAAGTGCAGAACGTAGTTACTGCTCCTATGATTTTTTAATGTAATACAGAATTTCAAGACATACACAAGCAGATATGACTTAAGAGTGTAGAACATGGTAAAAGAGAACTGTTATACAGTGATATAGAAAGCTACTAAGAGAATAGTGTGCGCTCATGACCAGGTAGGTAGAGAGGTGTTACAATAACATGAACACGACCTTGAACATTGAGTAGAATTTTGAAATGTGAAACTGATCCTACTCACCTGGTCTAGGTCTGTACTGCTGGTGCAAAGCAGTAAAAGAAAACACCAAAATATTCCTATGGGCATCAGGCCAACTTCTACATATTGGGTTATTTTACATATAACTGCTACTTGACCAACTCTTTCCCATATCCTCCAAACCAGGCATTAGAAGAACATGGTCTGCAGACCAAATCTGCCCTGATACCTCTTTTTGGTAAATGCTGTTTTTGGAATATAGGTGCATTTATTTGTTCACCAATTGTCTAAAGCTGTTTTCATGGTATAATGACAGAGTTGAGTAGATGTGAAAAGACTGCATGGTCCATAAAGTCTATTTTTTCCCTTTTATGCTAGAGATTGACCCCAGAACTGCACATGCTAGACAAGTGCTCTACCAATGGGCTGCATTTCCAGCGAAGCCCATCAAAAAGGCCTAAAATATTTTCTGTCTTGTAGTTTATAGGAAGAAAATCTGATGAACCTTGCCCTAAATGTAGTAAATATTAGTGCTTTCAATTTTACCTCAGTTTGTTATCATCTTTTCCTACTGGGTAATAATGTAGCTCATAAAGTTATTGATGGATGTTTTCTTTTAATTTCAGTAAAGAACTATTATATCCATGTAGCTCATATTTCTTGCTGCTTAATTAGTATGACCCACTCCCAATTAGGATAGATTTCAGCAGTCTTCATAAAACAACAACAGATGTTAACCACATATGAACAGTCTTCTTTTTAACTGCTTCCTAGATTTTCTTCAGTCCAAGTCTCTTAAATATATCAACTTGTTTTTTTTTCCTCCAGCAACATGCATATTTTTCAAGCATATCTGATAGCTGAGTCCTTAATATTGCTTTTACCACTTTTTGTTTCTGGATTTATCCAGTATTAATAATTCTTGAATCAAGAAAATGTAAATATGGGCAGTATGGTGGTTATCAGAGAACTATGATGTCTGTAAACTATTTAGATATGTGATGAGATTATTCTTTTTTAAAATAACATCTTTATTGAAATATTATTTAAATGTCATATAATTCATACATTTAAGGTATACAATTCAGTAATATGAATATATTCACAGAGTTGTTCAACCAGGAGCACTGTCTAATTTGACAATGTTCACTTTAATCCAAAAAGAAACCCAGTGTTCATTAGATGTCATTCTCTCTTTTCATTTATGAGCTCCTAGAAATCAGAAATCTATTTTCAGTCCCTATAGATTACCCTATTCTGGACATGTACTATAAATATTATATTTTGTCTCGTTTATTTTATTTATCAATCTTTTTGTATTTTATGTCTAGTTTATTTTATCAATCTTTTTTCAAAGTTCTACATTGTAGTATGTAATAATATTTTGTTTCTTTTTACGATCATGTTATAATCCACTGTATGGTCATTATCACCTTTTATTTAGCTGTTTATCATTTGAGGGGCATTAGGGCTGTTTTCATGTTTTAGAAATTCTGAGTAATGATACTGATGTTAAACTTTTTGAGAAACTCTTATACTCTTCCAAAGTGATTATATTGTTTTTATATTATCACTAAAAATGAATGATCTATCTCCTTGTTTCCTATTATCCATCTCTTATTTTGCTCTTTAATTTATTTATACTTTGAGTTTTGCATATAATGGAAACTTTGTGATATTTAAGCTTAATATGTCTGATTTGTTTCACTTAACATTATGGTATTAAAGTGCTTCTACTTTCTGACAAGTGACATGAACTCTTTATGGCAGAATAATACCCAATTGTGTATATATAACTCATTTTCTTTATCCATTCATCTGTTGATGGACATATAGGCTGCTTCCAAGATTTAGCTATTATGAATTGTGCTGCTATAAACTTGGGTTGGCATGGATCGCTAATGCAAGGCCTTTAACTTATTTATGAGAATACCTAGTAAGGAAAGATGATTTCAATGAAATTTCTAATTTTTGTTTTATGAGGAGTCTTCACACTGATTTCCATAGTGGTTGCACATTCCTGTCAGCTCTGTGGAAGGTCCCCCAGCCTTCAACCTCATTAGCATTTGTTATTATTTGATTTCTTGGTGACAGTATTTTTTTCTGAAATAAGATGGAATCTCACTGATATTTTCATTTGAATTTCTGTAATGACCAAAGATGTATAACATTTTGTTTCATTCTTCTGCTGAGAAGTGTCTATTCATTTCAGTAGTGCAGTTTTGATTTGGTCTTTTATTTTTGGGGATCTAAATTTTTTCTTTTTTTTTCTTTTTATTGAATTTATTGGTACATTCTAGGTATACAGTAAATTTACATCCATTACTGGGATCATGTGCCTTTACATGACAGGTCTTGGTTCTCATTTTTCCCCTTGTCCCTGCCCTCCCTTCACTCCCTCCTCCCCTCCCTATTTACAAACACTTTTTTTCCATTTTTTCATTTTCTCATATTTTTCTCTTTTCCCTTATTCCCTTTCTCCTACCCTTCCCACTTTCCCTACACCATTAGCCCTTTTCTTCCTATTTCACATTGTTAATTATCCCATTATAAATTTTTTCTTAATATAGCCTAGATATTAGTCTTCTGTCTGAGGTGTACTTGGCAAAATTTTTTCCCACTCTGTAGGTTATTTTTTCAATCTCTTGGTTGTTTGCTTTGGCATGCAGAAGCTTTTCAATTTGATGTAATCCCGTTTGTTGATTCTTCATGTTATTTCTTGTGTAATTTGTATTCTGTTTAGAAAGCCCTTCCATATGTGTATGAATTCAAGAATTTTACATACTTTATCTTCCATTAGATTATTTTAATATATAGATATTTCATCAATTTTGATTATAGTTTAATATATAGTGAGGAATATGGGCCTTCTGCATGTGTGCAGGTAGTTTTCTAAGCACCATTTGCTAAAGAGGCTATCTTTTCTCCTGTGTATGTTTATGGCCCCTTTTTCAAAGATTAGTGAATATGTCTGTTTTGTGTTTGTGCATGCGTGGATCATTTATTCTGTTTCATTTATCCACAGATCTGTTTTTTTGATAGTACTCTCCTGTTTTTATCACTGTAGCTTTGTAATGTAACTTGAAATCCAAGATTGTAATGCCTCCTGCTTAGTTCACATAACTCAAGGTACCTTTTGCTATTTTGGGTCTCTTCTGGTTCCATATAAATTTTTTTTGTTTGTTTATTTTCTGAGACAGTATCTGGCTATGTAGCCCAGGCCAGCCTCACAATCAAAGCAATTCCTTCCTCAGCTTCCAGAGTCTGGGATTACAAGCTTGATCCATCCCTGGCTCCATAAGAATTTTTTTTAATGTTTTTCTAGTTCTCTTAGGAATGTTGTTTTAATTTTACTAGTGATTCATTCTCTGTTTATCAAGAAATATCTTCATTTATACTTCAATGTTGACTGAGAGTTTTGTATTGTAGATTTTTTGGTTCACAGTCTTTTTCACTACAGTATTTGAATATGTCTTTCCATTGCCTTCTAGACTCCAGTGTTTGTGATGAGAAGTTAGATATTCATCTTTTCAGGATCTCTTGTAAGTGATGAGTTGCATTTTTGTTGATGTTTTCAAGGTGCTTTCTTTGTCATTTGTTTTTGGTAGTTTGACTCTGATGTGTTTGGGAGTAATCTATTTTCTTTAATCCAGTTGAATATTGAGCTCCTTGGTCATACAGATTAATGTTTTTCATCAAGTTTCTGAACTTCTCAATCCTTATTTCTTTGAAAATTCTTCGTACTCATTTCTTCTTTCTCTTTTGGAGAATTATATCATTCTTATGATACTATTCTTAGTGCTGTCCCCAAAATCTCTGAGTCTCTGTTTTGTTCATTTTTGTTTCTTTTTCTCAATCTGGGTAATCTAAAATGTCTTGTCTTCCAGTTCATTATTTCTTGTGTTAGTTCAAATCTGGTATTGAGTCCTGTTAGTGAACTTCTGAATTTCATTTACAGAACTTTGAAGAGCATTTATTTTTCTTTTTAATAATTTCTCCATTTTTTCAATATTTTTTACGCA